TCCATTAAAAATCCACACCTGGGTTTTTTTTCTATGGAAAACAATTTAGTTCTGGAGGACTACGTTTTTTTCTATAGAAAAAATTTTTTCGGTCCTGTTGGACACATAATTTTTTCTATAGAAAAAATTCGGTCCTGGCAGATACATGGTTTTTCCATAAAAAAAAATCGTTCCTGGCGGACCCCGGGTCTTGTTAATTTTTTCCAATATCCCAATATTTTCTTGTTCTACAATTTCCCCACAAATTTTGAATTCCTACCAAATACATTTAATCTATCACACTCGTTCTCCCCCACTTTCACATTCCATACCCGTCGTTTGTGGAGCTCAGCACTTTGTTGTCATTAGTCCATAGTACACCCAACTTACCATACCTGTATCTCACAGAGCGTGAAAGGGGGAGGCGGATATACAAATCTTTTGTTATTTTGATTTTATGTGTATCGCATCGAGAATATCTTGGCATCCGTGAAAGTATCTGTAATTTTCTTCACAATAGGTTGTTGGTTGGTCGGTCGCTGGTATAGTCGACTGGTTTTGTGCTGTCAACAGCCATCCAACCAGACATAAAGGTAGGCACCTTACCACCTCCAACGAAACGAAAATCTGTTAAGAAAGCTGCTTTTGTGTGCAAATTTTCCACATCCAAGAGTTTTGTTATGTATCACTTGCCAGGTTTCTTTGCCTTTTCGATTTGGCAAATGCCGTGCAAAAGACAGACCCATATTGGAGATTTATCTAATATGGACTATTTCGGTTGTTTTGGCTACAAAAAAAAAGCAAAGAAGGAGAGATTTGGTATCAATGAGGTTTCGTTACAATACACTCTCACACTGATACTCGCGCACACACATAGACACCCATTGGGCATACCAGTACCTACCTGCCAAGAATATGGGTTAATAATGCATTATTTACCTGTGTATCATAGATTTTCTTATTTTTCTGCTGTCGAAGATGAAGAAGAAAACTCAATAATGTTGTTGGTGTTACTGTTGTTGTTGATTTTAATAGTCTAAAGTAGAAAATTGAGTGGAAAAGCATAGACATGCAAAAGGGTTGCTTCTCTTCTGTTTTTCCACTCTCTCTCCCTCTCCCAAATGAGTCCCGCATAGAATTACACGGAAGATCCATTAATGTAATGCTCTCGGTAAAGAGGGAAAAACATGAGTCCGTTTTCCAACGTCCGTCCTCCAACCGGTGTCGGAGTGAGTGAGTCAGTCAGTTAGTAAGTAAATCTAGTGTCAGCCAGTGACAAGGGTTGTCAGTCTGTCTTTTCGATTTTAAATTTAATCGAATTTAAAGACGAAGGAAATATTCGATTTTGGAGAAAGAAAGAAAGAAGAAACAAAATGTTGTGAAATTTAATGGAGTAAGCTATAAATTTATTAATGTGTTTGTTTGTGAGAATCCTCTTTGGAGGAGAACAAAAAGGGTGAATTTCCTAAAAAAGTGAAATAAAATTTAATGTTATTTTCGGAGAATGTAGGCGATAAAACGGCTTTTTGGAATATTAAAGAAATTTGTTAACCAAGTAGTGCCCTTATAACAAGGAATATTTAAAATAGATTAATGCTCTTTAAATTTCGTGTAATTTTTATGAAATGAAAGTGACGACTGGTTTCTCTGTGTAAGAAATGCCAGATATGGATCCATAAAAGATCTAATGGTAATAAACCAACAAGTGTGTGTTTTTTTATTCGTCATGTGTTGCAGAACCCAGGTGATAATATTTGGAGTTTTATTTAAAATCAAGTAAAAACGCCTAAGATTTAGGACGCGGGGTGATATTTTACAACCTCCACCATGTGAAAACTGAACTTATTGTCTATTCGGGTATATTAAAAAATTCCTAAAATTAGGATGTCTCGTTATGACGATATGAGGATTATACCGGATATATTTACTTAGAACTCAATGAATATCAAGAATATTTGTGTTGTTACAAATGATATGGAGAAGTTTATACAAACTTCAATATATGCATTAAGAAAATTTAAATTAGCTAAATTTAGGTGAGAAAAAAAAACTGCAAAAAATTAAAACGCCATTATTGAATGAAAGCAAAAAGTGTCGGAAATAGCGGAAATAGAAATTTTAGAATAAGTTTAGATTTGTTCGAATTGGTCACCTTTGGCACAACTTATGACCTTCAAACGGGCAATGAAACCGTCATATGTTGTCCGAATGTTGATCTGCGGTATTTTGGCCCATTCCCGGCGAAGCGCTTGTTTGTGGTGATCGACACTTTGGTATTTTTAGTGTCAACCTTGCTTTCAAAAATACTGCAGACACAATAGTTCAACAGTTGGTATCCGGAGATTTTGGTGGCCATTATGCGCTAGAAATGAAGCGCGGAACCTTATTTTGTAACCATTCTTGGGTGGGGCGTGCTGAGTGCGATGGTGCTGAGTTCTGTTGGAATGTCCACGGTCTGCGACCAAAATGTTTGCGTGCCCAAGGCTTTAATACACCCTCCATAATATTTTCGCGATAATATTCGGCATTATTCTGATGTAGTTGTGACCAGCGAGACACAAAAGAAGTATTTATTTATAACCAATACATTTAGATATAACAAATTGTAAAGAATCACTGTCCTGTTTCGCAAGTTGTAACAGATAAAGGTATTGAAAATTATGTTCCTTTGTGGGTGAGGTACCAGAAGGGGTTGATAGATATATATCATCTTCTCAACAGACCTTGTACTAGAAAAGTGTTTGTATGTGTGTGAAATTTGAAGAGAATCGGGTGTTTATTTTGATTTCTTTGAGCGTTCAAAATCTTGAACCCTATGTGAGGGAGGTATCAGAAGAAATAATCCCATCTCTACCATATTTCTAACAGATCTTGTGTTAATGGAAATATTGAGATGTACCAAGCCTGAATGAAATCGGATGATAATTTCTTGTCTTATGAGCTTCATGGATATTCAAAATTTTGAGCCTTTGTGGGGGAGGTACCAGAAGGAGTAGACCGATATATTCCATTTTATAAGAATTATAATTATTCAAAACTAGCTGTCACGGTCCGCGTTGCCGGTCCGTACTTTTAGTCTTTAATGCATATTTTTTTAAAGCATATTAAATCACAGATCTGACTTATGTAGACCCGACCTACCACTGATGCAAATATTAGTATTTGCAAAGTTGGAGCAAAATCGGATTATCCTTTCTCTTTCTACGCAGTAAAATATGTTCTTTGAAAATTTTGACGTTTTATGGATCGAAGAAGTGGACCGATATTGCCCATTTCCGAACTCGATCTAAGTTTGATAATAATATTACGATGTACCAAGTTTGGACCAATTCGGATACTTCTTTCGAGAGTTATCGTGCGACCAGCCAGACAGACAGACGGACGGACGGACATAGTTAAATCTACTCCAAATGTTCTGAAACGGATTTGGTTCAATGAGTGACGTTTTGGCTGTATCAAATGATATATACCCTCTCTAGCCATATGACTGATGTTATGATAATAACAACAGTGCGAATGTTCGAAGTCTGGGAAATTCCGAACTGAAACAAGTAAAAAAGTAGTAAGTTCGGCCGGGCCGAACTTTGAATACGCTCCACCATTTGGAATGAATTAGGAAATTTTCAAAAAAAAAAAAAATAAATAAATAAAATCCATAAAAATCTTAAAATGCCGAATATCGGAAGATGCCGATATATGGGGGATATCGTGGGCCTATATAGACAATTCAATTTCTGGGGGTAAAGTACTCACAAAGAACTCCTTGTGTAGAATTTCAGACAATTCAGACAATGGGGGATATACGATATCGTGAACCGATATAGCCCATCTTCGAACTTGACCTGCCCGTTTGACCTGAATTCGTTTTGACTGTAGCGTGATTACAACAGATGGTCGGACAGGGCTAAATCGTCTTAAAATTTTACGCTAATATATTCTTGATTCTTTGTTGGGTCTAAAATTTTTATTTCGATTAGTTACAAACGGAATGACGAACTTAATATATCTTCCATAATATGCATGGTGGAGGGTATATAAATGGAAAGTCTTGTATAAAGGAAGTCAAATTTTCCACGGTAGGAAGGGAGAGTTTTTCCAAAATGATCCTGATATCAAAAAGTTTTCATTATTATGACTGAGGAGGAGCTACTTTTATCAAGTTGCATGGCTTTGTTAAGATAATGGCTTGGTAATCCGATTTGTAGTGAGTATTTTTGCTGGGTATTCGACTTTTTTCAGATCATTGTCAGGATACGTTCATGGCTTGGCATGCTTCCGATGTAACAGTATCACCTATTTAGAAAACACATATTAAAAAGTTGAATTGAGAGGTTATATTGCCCAAAATTTATGTTGGGCGCCATGTCCGTCTGTAGTTATGCTACTCCTACAAGATTTCCTATTCAGAGTATTCCAATTTAGTAACCCCAACAAATTCTTTAAAATTGTTATTTTAACTCATTCACCGGCGAGGTATTCCAATATTTACCACGCGATTCCTGTAGTTCCCCTCCAGCTCTATCCCTTTCTTTATGTTTGGTTTTCTATTCTGTCTGGCCTTGTTATTTATTCATAATTCTATTTTCCACATAAATCTTTTAGTTATTAATCAAAACTTGTTTTTTTCTCTGTTCTTTTCATTACAGATTCTTTGCACGTTACAAACAATGAATATACAGCTAACATGAATTTCCGGTTCCTGGCTGGTACAAAAGACAACAAAAATAAAAACATAAACTATGTGTATAAAAATAAAGAACTACAAAGCAAACTGGCAGAACTTGCAACTGGTAGAATCGTTTGAAAAATAAAGCGGCAATAAAACTCACACACACACGCATGCAACCAAAAGAAATTAATAACCATGGAACTAAATATTTAAAAAAAATATTAAAAAAAAATTTCTTAAATATTTACATTTCTTGCCTTTGGATTTAAAAATTTAAAATCTTTCTGGGTTTAATATCACAGTTATTTATTTTTTTTTTTCTTTCTTCTCCATTTTTTTCTTCTTCATCCAGAAAGTGCAATTTCTCATCAAATGAAATAGTAATAATAATAAAAAAGAAGAGAGAAAAGTGAAAAATCAGTGCTATTCACATCAAAAAAGCAAAAAAGAAAAATCCCCCCCCAAAAAAGCAAAGAAAAATCTAGTGAATCAAAATTGCAAGAAAATTCAAATATTTGTGCAAAATTTAATAAAAGATCGTGAGAAGAAGCAGCAGAAGAGGAAAAAATCAAAGTTGATTGTTTTCCACTTTTGGTTTTCACCCCACCCCACTTCCCTGGGTATCTATGTGTGAAAACTCCAGCTGGCTACGTGTTTAAAGTTAAACATTTTCTTTTTCGTTTATCAAATTTACTTTTTTTATTTTATTTTGGAATTTTTTTTTGTTGGCTGTGGAAAAAAGAAGAAAATCATAAAAAATCAGAGAGAAATAAACGAAAAGAAAACGGCGTGAAAATTCATTAAAACGCCATTTGCGTCTTTTTTGAAGAGAGCGCGCGAATTGCATTGTTAACCAGCCATGGATCCGCCTATTGGCAATGGATACCGGCTGCCAACAAGCTTGAAATTAGCGCCATCAACCACGGCCACACCAGAAGCAACAACAACAACAATGTGCAATACAACAAAATGCCACCGCAAACGAAATGTTGTTTCCGGCAGTAGAAATAATCAAACAGTGTCATCAGCAGCCAATAAACCCCGCTCCAGGAGTCACAATGCCCACGCCCACACCCAAACCCACCAACTTAAGGCAGCCAAAGGTTTTACAGGAAAACAAACGCCATCAATTGTCCCCCGCGCCACGACAATGACTCGAATGCGGCATCAAGTCGGTAGTCTTAGTTTTGTCCTGACATTGATGGCCGTTGTTATTTTAAATAATTTCGGTTGTCTCATCAGTCCAACAGCAACGACACAAGTATACGCAGCTGCATCCGCCCATCGTGAAAATACGCGCATTCTACCATTACAATCAGGTGAGTTGGAAAAATGTTTTCTTCTTTTTATTCTGCATTTCTAGTTTTTCTGTCCTATTCTGGAATATATTTTTTTTATTTCGAGCATAAAATGGCAAAGTTTTCCAGAAAAACGCCATGATAATGGCCACTTTTATTGCATTTTGCAATGGCGTTAGGGGCTAGTGAATGATGGTAATTGCCAACAAAGTTAAAAAGAGAAGCTCAAGACATTTTGTATCTAGAAAGTTGTACTTTTTTCTTCTTGTTGTTGTTTTTTTTTTTTGTTCTTGTGTAAAAGTGTCACATATGTTACTGTTTGACAGTTATGGCACCATTATTCTTGACTATTATGCTACTCCTACTGTCGTTAACATATTTTCTTAACTTTGTTTCCAATTTCATTCGGAAGGGAGGTTCGAGAAGGCAAAATTTCCAAGAGCAAAGTATATTTACTCGATTTCGAATGTTATCGTTTTATTTCAAAATTGCTTAAGTAGAGACTATTTTTATCCTTAGCAGAGGCCATATATATATACAATTTTGTAGGGCCAAAAAGGTCCCTATCCACAAGCGGTTTTAAATCCCAGATTTTTTTTGGGTTTCATCATATTAGCAGTCCATCTAGCCATATCCCACGAAATCTATATAAACAAGTAAAATAGTATTAGTCGGTTCTTTCCAACAGATGTATAACCTCAGCCTAAGACGGATATAAATAAAAAAACCTTTTAAAAATCCCAAAATTTTTGGGAAAATATTTAAAAAATCCAAGTTTCAAGTTCTCCCGAAAATTTTGTGAAAATAAATAAAAAATCCACGTTTAATATTCTCCCAAACATTTTTAATAAATAATTAAAAAAAATCCAAGTTTAAAGCTCTCCCGAAAATTTAGGGAAAATGTTTAAAAAAATCCACTTTTAAAAGCCTCTGAATATTCTTTAAAAAAATTTTAAAAAACTCCACTTTTAAAGGCTTCTGAATATTCTTTATTTTTTTTAAAAAAAATACACGTTTATAAGTGTCCGAATATTTAAAAAAATATATTTTTTAAAAATCCACTTTTATAGGCCGCCGAAGATTCTTTAAAAATATTTAAAAAATCCATGTTTATAAAACTCCGAATATTTTTTTTAAATATTTAAAAAATCCAGGTTTATATGCCTCCGAATAATTTTTAATAAATATTTAAAAACAAAAAAATTAAATATTTAAAAAATCCACGTTTATAGTTCTCCCGAAAATTTTGGAAAAGGCCTCCGAATGCTCTTCAAAATATTTAAAAAATCCGCGTTTATAGTTCTCCCGAAAATTTTGGAAAAGGCCTCCGATTACTCTTTAAAAATGTTTAAAAAATCCAAGTTTATAGGCCTCCGAATGTTCTTTAAAAAAATATTTGAAAAATCTTTGTTTATAGGCCTCCGAATATTTAAAAATCCACGTTTATAGGCCTCCGAATATTCTTCAAAAAATATTTTAAAAATCCACGTTTATAGTCCTCCGAATATTCTTAAAAAAATATTTAAAAAATCCACGTTTATAGTCCTCCGAATATTCTTAAAAAAATATTTAAAAAATCCACGTTTATAGTCCTCCGAATATTTTTTAAAAAATATTTTAAAAATCCACGTTTATAGGCCTCCGAATATTTTTTAAAAAATATTTTAAAAATCCACGTTTATAGGCCTCCGAATATTTTTTAAAAAATATTTTAAAAATCCACGTTTATTGGCCTCCGAATATTTTTTAAAAAATATTTTAAAAATCCACGTTTATAGGCCTCCGAATATTTTTTAAAAAATATTTTAAAAATCCACGTTTATAGGCCTCCGAATATTTTTTAAAAAATATTTTAAAAATCCACGTTTATTGGCCTCCGAATATTTTTTAAAAAATATTTTAAAAATCCACGTTTATAGGCCTCCGAATATTTTTTAAAAAATATTTTAAAAATCCACGTTTATAGGCCTCCGAATATTTTTAAAAAATATTTTAAAAATCCACGTTTATAGGCCTCCGAATATTTTTTAAAAAATATTTTAAAAATCCACGTTTATAGTCCTCCGAATATTTTTTAAAAAATATTTTAAAAATCCACGTTTATAGGCCTCCGAATATTTTTTAAAAAATATTTTAAAAATCCACGTTTATAGGCCTCCGAATATTTTTTAAAAAATATTTTAAAAATCCACGTTTATAGGCCTCCGAATATTTTTTAAAAAATATTTTAAAAATCCACGTTTATAGGCCTCCGAATATTTTTTAAAAAATATTTTAAAAATCCACGTTTATAGGCCTCCGAATATTTTTTAAAAAATATTTTAAAAATCCACGTTTATAGGCCTCCGAATATTTTTTAAAAAATATTTTAAAAATCCACGTTTATAGGCCTCCGAATATTTTTAAAAAATATTTTAAAAATCCACGTTTATTGGCCTCCGAATATTTTTTAAAAAATATTTTAAAAATCCACGTTTATAGGCCTCCGAATATTTTTTAAAAAATATTTTAAAAATCCACGTTTATAGGCCTCCGAATATTTTTTAAAAAATATTTTAAAAATCCACGTTTATAGGCCTCCGAATATTTTTTAAAAAATATTTTAAAAATCCACGTTTATTGGCCTCCGAATATTTTTTAAAAAATATTTAAAAAATCCACGTTTATAGGCCTCCGAATATTTTTTAAAAAATATTTTAAAAATCCACGTTTATAGGCCTCCGAATATTTTTTAAAAAATATTTAAAAAATCCACGTTTATAGGCCTCTGAATATTTTTTAAAAAATATTTAAAAAATCCACGTTTATAGGCCTCGGGGTATTCTTTAAAAAATATTTTAAAAATCCACGTTTGTAGTTCTTCAGAAAATTTTGGAAAAATATTTTAAAAATCCACGTTTATAGTTCTCCAGAAAATTTTGGAAAAATATTTTAAAAATCCACGTTTATAGTTCTCCAGCAAATTTTGGAAAAAATATTTTAAAAGTCCACGTTTATAGTTCTCTAGAAAATTTTGGGAAAATATTTTAAGAAATCCACGTTTATAGTTCTTCCAAAAGGTTTGGAAAAATATTTAAAAATCAACGTTTGTAGGCATCTGAATATTTTTTTTTTAAATATTTAAAAATCCACTTTAAAGGCCTCTTAATATTTTTTAAAAATATTTTAAAAATCCACATTTAAAGGTATCTGAATATTCTTCAAAAATATTTAAAAATCCACTTTAAAGCCCTCTTAATATTTTTTAAAAATATTTTAAAAATCCACATTGAAAGGTGTCTGAATATTCTTCAAAAATATTTAAAAAGTCCACGTTGATATCCGCTTTAAAGGCCTCTGAATATTCTTTAAAAATATTTTAAAAATCCACGTTTATAGTTCTTCCAAAAAGTTTGGAAAAATATTTAAAAAGCCACGTTTATAGGCGTCTGAATATTTGATAAAAAATTTTTAAAAAATCCTTTTTAAAGTCCTCTGAATATTTATTAAAAATATTTTAAAAAGTTCATGTCTAAAGGTCTCTGAATATTCTTCAAAATTATTTAAAAAATGAACGTTTAAAGGCCTCCGATTATTTTTAAAAAAATCCACGCTTGTAGAACTCAGAAATTTCATTTTAACAAATATTTAAAAAATGAAACCGTAATATTTTCTCCCCATCCAAAATTAATAATTTTTCATAAATTTAATTTATTTTCACCATAAAATATCCTTTTTTAAAGATAGTATTTTTTATACAATAATTCACAATACCGCTGACCTCTGCAATTGGCCACTAGCCAATTACATTTCGCGCACACATAACGATTCTAATTGAATTTACCATACAAACGCACGCACGCCCCACACACACACAGTCACATTCACTCATTCATGACGCCTTCATTCATTTCCTCCTTTAATTGCATAATTATCCTTAATTTTCAAGCATGTTTCATTTAGTTTTGTTAGTTCTCAACTTAAATTGTAATAAAGCTCTGTTTACCGCTGTCAATCAGTCTGCCCGTCTGTCTGTCCATCCATCGCACCAGCTGCAAGGACATCAACCAGCAACAAATTTGTTTAATGCTACAACAAATAAATGATTGATTGTCATTTGGGAAGGCTGGGTTTTTTTTGCTGTTACCGCCTAACATTTGCAATGCTAATTGCATTTGCTGCGGAATGGAATGAAATGACGCTGCGGCGTATGAATTGCCAGCAAGACCACATTGTATAAAAAAGAGGAACTATGTACAAATGTTCAACACACACACACATACACAAAATATAATTAATTAATGGAAAATAAGTGGCTGTAATCAAATGAATTCGTTACGTACATAAAATCCAATCATCATCACCACCACCAGTAGAAGCATCAACAGCAGCATCATCATTGTTGTCGTCGTTGTTGTTGTTGTTGTCCGTTGGAAGAGGTGTTCTTTTCAATTGGAATACCCCAGTGTAATTCCAATTATTTCTTTCTTCTGCACAGCCACCTCTCTATTGCCTAGAATTTACTCATTGCTCGACAATTGAAGTTTATTTATAGGCCCAGCAAACATTTTTATTCGAATTTCATGGTATATCAGATAAAATGTGAGAGGTCTTCATGGGGAAGAAGGGAATTCTGTTTTAAACTTTAACAAATCGGAATTGTTCATTAAGACTTGCAAGAATATGATAAAAATAAAATGATTCTGCCAGAATCTGCCCAAAAAAGTAGACACCTTCCAATAATCTATGTCTGGAAGGGAATTCTATTATAAAAGAAGTAAAAAAAAACAACATTATATTCGGCCGGGCCGAACTTTTAATACCCTTAAAGGAAACATTAGAACCCATTATGACCCACAAATACCAGTTTTCAGACAAATTCGTGGGAAAATGTGGCAAAAATCATAAAAATAGCGAATATCGGGAGGTTCCGCTATATGGGGATATACAAAAACGTGAACCTATAAATACAATGTATCACCACCAGAGCTAGATCCCATTAAGACCAAGACCACAAATACCAAGTTTTAGACAAATCCGCG